TCATTACTTCAATGCCCGCAGCACATGCCTGGGCCACCGCATAATAGGGAATCTATTTTGACTTTGGATTATTTGCTGGGCATTTTCGTGTGTATTTCCTTTAGCTATGCTTTCAAAATAAGTGATGCACGCGTTGCACAGATTTAGTTTCGTTCAGCGACTTATCCTAACATCTCTCCTCTACTATTTCCAAAGGACCAGAACCGAATGTAGTGTTAACAATTGCTTTTTTTTCATAAGAACGGAACCTTGGGCAAGTTGGCATGGATTCATCTTGGCTGATACAGCGCACTTGAGACGACTACGAAGAATAATAACATAGGACAGGCGCTGACTCGAAAACAAAAATTTCTTTCAGACTAAACTCTTGGTCGTCGTCTCGCGTGCGCTGTATCAACCAAGACGCTTCCTCTGCTTTCGGTTTTATTCAACTCTCCTGTTCAAGTCCATTATGAGTATGTCCCTCTGGGTACACGAGGTTTAAATTGGCAATTTAGCATCCTTATCGAAATTGGCTACCAGTTCCTTATCACGTCTGTACTCTCGCGCCCATTTCAGCACTACTTTCTGTTTATAATTGATTGAAAGAATTGAACGAGTTCAGAAGTTAGCTTCGTATTTCACATATTTGTACTCCAGGCATTCCAGTGCAACTTATTTACGTAATAAAGCAAGCCTACAAAATTTATGCAGCGCAGGATAGTATCAAGATTAAAATTCATTTACCCGCCTAATCAAGAAACTTTGTGTTATCATAGGAGTGTTACCTTCAACATACTTCAAAGCTTTCAGCCAGAACAAATCACAGCAAAACTTTTAGGCAACCAGTTAGTCACACTAGTGTCCACAAGCTTGCTCTACTTCCTGATGCGATTACTTATTGAAATAACTCGACCGAGGAAGTCGTAAAGTCTGGGTCGCGGGCTTCATTTACAGAATATATTGTAAATACTTCTTCTTGATGTATGTGGCCTGTATATATACATATATATGGTTGGTTGGTATGTGGGGTTTAACGTTCCAAAACCACTATATGATTATGAGAGACGCCGTAGTGGAGGACTCCGGAGATTTAGACCACCTGGGGTTCTTTAACGTGCACCCAAATCTGAGCACACGGGCCTACAACATTACATATATATATATATATATATATATATATATATATATATATATATATATATCTTGATAGTACGCGTTGAGTGTTGAGTCCGCGACGCTTTTATTAAAAACGAACACAGGTCAAGCGCTCAGCGATACAAATCGAAGCTGACACCTGCACGAACCACGGTCCTCTTCCTCGTCTTTTGCAGGCACTGCTAAATGCAGCTCATCCATTCTACAAATCACTCCCCCGCAGAAAAGGAGCCATTCTGGCGACCTAAGGCACAGGTACAACTGGTGGGTCATAGTGCGGCTTCAGTCAGTCGACGAGAACAGTCTCACTAGGGTGTCCTAGTCTCACGGCCGTGACAGCGGTGGTCTGTGGATTACTGTACGGGCTCGAAAATATAGTTTACCGGGGATGCTCGACGCAGGATGCGGTAGGGGCCTTCATACTTAGGCAGCCGCTTTGTAGAAAGGCCTGGAGCTGAGGAGGCAACGCCAAGCCACACCAATGTTCCAGGCGAATATGACTGGGGATGCAGGTTGGCGTCATGGCGGTCCTTTTGGTGTGCTTGGTCTTGTGTAGTTAACGAACCTGCTAGCCTTCTGCATTCTTCCGCATAGGTGGCGACTTCTGAGAGAGTTGCACACTCTGAATTATCCGGGCGATACATAAATGAGGAGGGTTCACGGCCATATAGAAGAAAGAAGAGAGAAAATCCAGTCGTGAATTGAGTGGCACTGTTGTACGCATAGCTGACAAATGGTAGTATGTGGTCCCAGTTGGTGTGGTCAGCAGATACATACATGGACAGCATGTCGCCTAATGTGCGATTGAAGCGTTCAGTCATGCCATTGGTTTGGGGATGATACGCAGTGGTCGTTCGATGAACAACATTGCATTCACGCAGGAGGTCTTGTACGATTTCTGAGAGGAACGTGCGTCCGTGCACGGTCGCTGAGTAACTCGCGAGGAGCGCCGTGGCGAAGAATAACTTTGTGAAGAATAAATAAGCCGACTTCACGTGATGTAGCCTGTGGCAGTGCGGCAATCTCAGCATACCGTGTCAAATGATCAATAGCGACAATCAACCAGCGATTCCCGTCTGGTGTGTATGGAAGTGGGCCGTATAAGTCAATTTCGATGCGATGAAAAGGTCGAAATGGGCAGGGCAACGGCTGGAGCGGTCCAGTGACGGCATGCGATGAAATCTTCCGGCGTTGACATTTTGAGCATGAACGCACGTATTGGCGGACAAATCGGTACATTCCACGCCACTAGTACCGCAGCCGGAGGCGTGCATACGTCTTTATTACACCAGCGTTGCCGCATTGGGGGTCCGCATGGAACGAGGCGCAAATATCAGCACGTAGATGGCGAGGAATCACCTACAACCACTTGCGACCTTCATATATATATATATAAATATTATATATATATATATATATATATATATATATATGTATATATATATATATATATATATATATATATATATATATATATAATATATATATATATATATATATATATATATATATATATATATATATATATATATATATATATATATATATATATATATATATATATATATATATATATAAGGGAAAGAAGTGTATTCCTAAGGGCTCGTTTTTCCGTGTTTTGACACAATATTAATGAGATCTAACAGACAGTAATGCCAAGGATTGTACAGGGGAAGTTATTATTCCTTGGCATTACTGTCTGTTAGATCTCATTAATATTGTATCAAAACACGGAAAAACGAGCCCTTAGGTATACACTTCTTTCCCTTATTTCATTGAACGAGGGTCTCGTACTGGCAGACTTGGTGTCATTAGGTTGTATACGAGGGACTATTAATCAGCTACCCACTCGTAATAAGTTCACGTGCTACGTGACGCAAAACATGCGCATAAAAGAGTGTTTCACACTCGTCGCTTGGCTTATAGATGGCGCTGACTGACACTGCTACTTCTAAATTCACATATAAACTCAAAAAAGTGGATGGAGGTAAGGCCGCTGTGGTAGCTCAGTGGTTAGAGCATCGAACGCGTTATTCGAAGGTCGTAGGTTCGATTCCTGCTCACGGCTGCTTATTTTTTCACCCACTTTTCTTTCTTCTTATTTACATTCCATTGGTTCTAATAACTTCCCCTGTACATTCCTTGGCATTACTGTCTGTTAGATCTCATTAATATTGTGTCAAAACACGGAAAAACGAGCCCTTAGGTATACCCTTCTTTCCCTTATTTCATTGAACGAGGGTCTCGTACTGGCAGACTTGGTGTCATTAGGTTGTATACGAGGGACTATTAATCAGCTGCCCGCTCGTAATAAGTTCACGTGCTACGTGACGCTAAACATGCGCATAAAAGAGTGTTTCACACTCGTCGCTTAGCCCATAGATGGCGCTGACTGACACTCCTACTTCTAAATTCCCATATAAACCAAAAAAAGTGGATGGAGGGAAGGCCGCTGTGGTAGCTCAGTGGTTAGAGCATCGAACGCGTTATTCGAAGGTCGTAGGTTCGATTCCTGCTCACGGCTGGTTATTTTTCACCCACTTTTCTTTCTTCTTATTTATATTCCATGGGTTCTAATAACTTCCCCTGTACATTCCTTGGCATTACTGTCTGTTAGATCTCATATATATATATATATATATATATATATATATATATATATATATATATATATATATATATATATATGTGTGTGTGTGTGTGTGTGTGTGTATGTGTGTATGCAGTGCTGAGTGCAATGTCTTTCGACTTGCTAATTGGCTATGTATTACTTTTTACCTGTACCAAGATATAGTGTGCATTTGTGTTTACTGTCTGTTTACATTATTTGTATTCACTCCTGCATAAGCCCGAGAAGGGCCGGCAGTATCTGTAAAAAATAAAGAAAATATAGTTACTGTTCTGTTCAAGCACAGCGGTTGCTGTGCTTGTAATAATACTGGAATTGTTTTCCACAGACTTGGCATGTTATTGACTCCGTCATTTCAGGAAACCGTCTGTAACGGCGGTCATGCCCGTTAGTATCGAAAATGATTCCAAATTTACACTTTACCAGGGACAATGATATCCCGATCATCGCCTTCTGGTTCCTCAAATAACACTGCTAGAGTAGCTTCGATCGACAGGGTCCGAGTGTTAATCATTCTCTCGTTAAGTTTCCAGTGACGACCTATTCTGATTCAGTGAGATCGTCATCCTTCTGCGCTGCTTTACCTCCAGAACGGTCGGATGTACCGCAGCTGCTCGAGTCTGAGTGCCACAGTTGAATTGTGAGCTTTGCTTGTTACGCCAAATGAAACCTCTCAAGTGCTTCAGTATGCGTTAAATGCTTATAAACGCTTTGCAAGTAGATTCGTACGTTTTAAGTGAGTTGGCTGTGTATGCAGTTATCTTTCCAAATAAACACCAGTGCCTACTCGTTAACAAAGATTTTGTGTGTTTCAATGTTTTCCAGATTTCGGCGTCCGAAAATGACAAGAATGTAGGGGTAGGCGAGGGCTGGAAAGGGAGAGATATCATTGTGCGGAAAATGTCGCTGATGCCAACCTGAATTCCAGAAAGAACTTAACAACGCACAATCAGCCACTGTCTTTCTTAACAGCGTTTTTACGAGCACCTTTACCGATTTTCTCAACCTCAAACGGTAAGAAAAAGGACAAGTTTACACGTCGATCGCCATTTTAAAAGGTGCTTTTTCGCAATTAGAGTTATTCGTCCTGTGGTCGCTTTGAACGACGCTATTGCATATTAATTTCGCATCGGCACCGAAAGACACCTGAGAAAACTTCAGTCATTGCTAGCTCCATACTTTATTTACATATAATCAACGCGGTTTTCTGGAGTTTCTACCCATAGAAGCCATGTCAATATCCTCCATAGCCACCGTAGCCTCCGTAGCCTCCGTAACCACCATAGCCGCCGTATCCACCGTAGCCGCCGAGGCCATAGCCGCCGTAGCCCCCATATCCCCCGTAGCCACCGTAGCCACCGTAGCCTCCATAACCACCATAGCCGCCGTATCCACCATAGCCGCCGTAACCACCGAGGCCATAGCCGCCATATCCTCCGTACCCACCATAGCCGTAGCCAGCTGCCGCAACCGCAATGGCAACGAATAGGCTGAGCAGTGACAACTGAAAAAGAAACGAGGTTGCCTTAATAATATTTTAAACGTCACTCCACAAGTTTCGAAGAAACTATCGATGATGAACAATTCTAGTAGCAAAGTTGCATTACTTCATAATGCGAGCTGTGGATCCTAAATCACGTGTGCGTGGCACCCAAGAATAGTGGTCATGTTTCCCGCTCAGTCCTCTGGGTACGTGTGTGTGCATGTATTAGAGCCATAAAAAAATTATGCTCGCAGGATGAGGGTCTGGACACATTTCAGTTGGCGCTATCTATTGTCGGCAAATGCGGGAACCTGCCGTAAACAAATGGGAAATAGGCGAAAAAAATCATATGTCACGAAAAAAGCTCCTTATCACAAACGAATCCTGCTCTTACACAGCACATACCTAATCAAACAATTTGGTAAATTAATAGTGTCACACTGCAAACAGCGTGGCTTCCCTGGTTGTTTATTAGTTTACATAAAAGTCCCACGTATTTCAGAGTGGCTGTGTTCAATTGTCTTGGAAAGCCGCACGCTTTGTAGTGCGATACTGAAATTTCACCACAGCGTTCCATTGAGTCTCTGCAGTATAGATCTCGAAGTTGTTTTCGATAACTAGCTCGTTTCAAAAGATATGATTTTCTTTCGCATATTTCTTATTGTGTTATCGAATGACACTGTCGCTGCCGCCGAGAGATGGTTCCATGGATGGATGCCCATAAATCACGGGGATGATAACTCAAGCTTTTAAGTAACTGGGCTTAAAAAGATGAAGCGTACAGTGTTACAAAAACAGTCAGCTTGAAATTCATACACTACTATTTCACAGACAGAGATGACAAAGCCTTCATGAATGTTACTAACTGTGAAGTGATTCGCATACCAGAACATACAGGCAAGAGCCAACGTTCGGGCAAATGTTTGTCCCCCCCTAACAAATAAGAAGACCAGCCCTTTTTCAAAACATAGGATAAAGCCTGGTCATATCTTCTTCAGTCACTAGAAGCTCGTAAGACGTGTGTATTAAGCAAACAAGAAGCATCATTCTTACAAAGATCTTCATAGTTCCGTCACGGTTGTGGGGAAGGAGTGTGTGGTATCCGAGTACGGTTCTTGCAGACCCGGTGACTATGAGGCTGTGTCTTGAGTCAAGACGCTTGCGAAGGGCTCTTATATACGCCCATTTCTGGAGCCAGTGTCAAGTCTTTTCCACTCCCCGAATAACTTCTCTCACCCTCTTATCCGTGAAGAAAAACCACCTCATGGAATGCTTGCGGAAAAAGAGCGTAAGACGGAAGCATTTTGACGCGTTTATGTACTTTTTACTTTGATTTACTCTTTCGTTTGTCCTGTTCTGAAAACGGAGGAAACGCCTTGTTGTCACGCTACAAAAAAAAAGAAGGCTGCTGAATGCCAGAAATCAGCACGAATTGTTCAAACTTGACCTCACACTTCGATTTGTGTGCGAACCCTCATGGCCACAAATTCGCTACCAACAGTGTCAATGCAACCCTGATAATCTATGTGAGATATAGCATCTGTGGCTTTTGAGCCTCTTTCAAACAGTGTGCTCTGACAGCATGTGTATAGAGTGAGTAGGCTGGTAAGTAAGCAGGATGTTGGCGAACCTCGGGAAGTACAGAGAAATGCGTGGAATAAACGTACACTTTCATCGCATTTTCGTCTACTATTTGTATTAGGTTAGGCTCGCTTCCCAGACCCCCCCCCCCCCCCCCCCCAATAAGATGTGCTCTACGTGACTGTGCGAACAATTATAATACTGTCGGTATCTTCAGCTAGTATACACGCGACAGCTGCGCTAAATCCAGATCGAACACGAATGTTCTACCAGGTAGCTAGTTGTTTATTGGGCGCCTGCTTAGCCATTAGCAGCTTTCAACAACACTCTCGATATGCAAACATAGTGTGACGCCTGGTTCACTGACCAAACAAGGGCGGCAAAAAAATGAAGCGAAGCCAGCCATCACTTGTATAGCTTCGTTATGCCTTCGAAAAGACGTAGGTACGCAAAGCGATAAGTAAAGCAAAGCCTTTTTTACTTCTGTCAGAAATCTCGTCGCACAAGTTACGTAGCAGGCTGTCTTCTCTGCCAACAAGACCTTCATGTTTGCTAGTGCATGCTGGCATCATGCTAATAGGCTTATTTGCTAACAATTTATACTGCCGTGTAGAGGGACAGTACTACAAGCCTCTTTGTGTGTTCAGTTGGCCCATACACCACTATCACCATCGATGTTTTAGGTTTCCAGAAAGCTCATGGCATATGTATATACTTTTTAGAGAACGAGGAACACTTGTGATGTGCTTTTTGTGCCAACCTCATGCAGAGCGCACAACTTTGTATGCCTTCAAAAGCAGTCACCAACTTATCAACCATCTCGGCCACTAATCTGCCTTCGGAATTGTGAAATACCGATCAGCGCGAAGCCAATGAAATCCCGTGCTGATCATGTGGTCAGAAGAAATTTTACAAGTTTGATGGTATGAGACAACTCTTATACGCCCTGCGACAGTGCACTGATACGTTCAACCTTCGATGGCGTGTTCAGTGTTCGCGGCTTTGTAAGTTGTCCGGAGAAGAACAATGTGAAAGTCAATTCTCTCCAAGAAACGTTCATGGCATTCACTCGCTAATTATGAAGAGGATGGAATATTATTTTTTGCTGGTCGTTCTACAGGGACCCTACAGTTTTTCCATATGACGAACACGGTGAAGAGGTCACCACAAGAATAGCATGATATACTTGTCGCTTATCATCATGAAGACATTTCCATCAATCGTATGTGGCACATACCCTCATTCCATGGCCCATAGAATGCAGGTATAAGCCACCAGTTATCCACAGTTTCATTCTGCAAAAAAGTGGTATACTTTCAAAATTCTTTGCGGAGTCCCTCTATGGAGTTTGTTCCGCAGAAAATACGGCGCAGGCGTCAGCGGCCTTGTTGGTGTCGGAAATACTAAAAAGACGAAAAAAACTTGGAATCCCGCTTAAAACCGGAATCAAACTCACGTATTTGTGTCAGAATCAATTATTGTTCCACAGCTATGCCAGTGCTTGAAATTACTTACAAAAACAAAAATTGTATAATCGAGTCAAATAGTGACATTGTCAACTTTAGTAGCGCGATCTTTAACGCGATGGCGTACACAGCTCGTTCCGCAGATATTCCGGTGTCGGCGTCATCAGCGCAGTCGTTGGTTGTGAGCGAAAAATCATCGCCTAATGCATGAACGAAAAATTCAGAGCAATGCAAATAAAATACATAATAAAAAATACCATGGTTCACAGTAGGAATTGTGCCCGGGTCGTTTGGGTTCGAGTGGGGATTTAATCAGAGTCGTGTGCGTAGCAAGTAGGTGTTCTACCACCGAGCCACATGTCTGCTCAGGTATACGATCAAAGTTATTTGCATACTTTGCAACTGCATGACTCTTGCATACATGCTTTACAGTATATCATGTATTATCGCAGTAATAATGCGTGATACAAGCGTGTCAAGCGTGTCAGAAGATTTTCTTGTTCTTGTTTTTGTGGACCTTGTTTTGTGGCTCAAAACTTGTGATTATGACGACTTCACGGTTTAAAGCGGGCCACCCCCTACAAGAGGTACGCACGTTACTGCGCCATTTTCCTTATGCCCACATAGAGGGCACATAGCAAGCTCGAAAAGATTTCACGCGAACAACGGCCCATGGTTGAAAGCATGATACTCTTTACACAGAATGCAGCCGTATGCAAAAGCCTCACTGACACAAGCCATTTTGAACTCAGTACGCACTAGGAACAGGATATCGCTATAGCGTTCAGCTCTTGAAGGTGAAGCCTAAGAGTCTCCCAATTTTTAATAATGTAACACATATTAACCCTTGTGACTCGCTAAGCCATGGTCAAATTTTGCTCAATCCCCAAAAATATGGCAAAAGGTGCTCTAAGAGCACCGTAGTCATATCGGACCACAGGAAGTAATTTAGGTATCAGTAATTTAGGCCTTCTATATTTTTATCGATGCCAACCAGAGGCGCCCGATCGAGCCGTTCACAACCCCCTCCTCTACCCATTTCCTGTTCTCGCCAGTCGCCAAGCCTTCACGTCTGCTTCGCGGTCGCAGGGAATAGAGCCCCTCATGCAGTGCTTCACAATGTGAATATTATAATGTTTTTTTTTACAGTGAAAGCTGTTATCAAATCACAACAAGGGTCACGTGGGGCACCGTAGCTGTCCGCCCCCGCCGGTGTCCGTAACCACCATCGCACGAATTTAAAAAATAAAAAGCTCAGTAAATAAAAGAACACAAAGGTCACAATGAAATTTAAACCCATGTCTCCTGCATGTCATCCAAGTATCCTACCACTATAGCCACGCCAGTTTTCTTCTTTATTGCACTGAGCCACGCCGGTACGTGATGCGCCTTCGTAAAGTGGCTTTAGGCAGGTCTGATGTCGGGAAAGGAACCATGTTATTATGAGTAATAAAGCATTTTAGAAGAACAAAATAATAACCAGTTGTCACACAATGAGAATGGTGCAACCTCCAACACATTACAAAAGCTTCAGTTTGTTCAATTATTAACTGTGGCGCGTACCCACTGTGAGAGATTGTGGGGGTGGGATTTACAAAAGCTTTTGGCATATTTATTCATCATCGTCAGCCACAGCACACAAAAATTGCACAAAGTTTTTTCAAGTATGCAGCGGGTACCATGCTTCTCCGAAGAATGACGAAGGATGGCATAGTTGTAATGCTCATAGGAAGAGTACCCTACGCTTTCTTGACCGATCAACCAAGTGGGTATGTGCCACATTTTCAAGGATACCAACAAACCAACAAATAAAGTAATGCCTGCCTACTACACAATGATGAATGGTGTAGTAGGTACCCTGCAAATGTGCTTGCAGCAGCTACCGAACGAGTGTTAACAAGGCTCGAAAAGGCCCCTCTTCCAGCTTTCGCTGTGACAGTGCTGCACGTTCCACGCAGGCCCATGTTAAGTTTCCAGTGGCGACCGAATAACCGAATAACCTCTATTACGGCCCAATCCGTGAAGAAATACCGCTTTGTGGAATGCTCACGGAAAAGAAGCGTAAGGCGGAAGCATTCTGACGAGTGTATGGGCCTCTTTAGTTTTATTTACTATTTCGCTTGTCCTTCCATCTTTGAAAAGGGGGGAAACACCTAGTTGTCGCATCTAAGAAAAAGTAGGCGGACGAATGCCAGAAATGAGCAAGAGCTGCTCAAGCTTAGCCTCACACTTCAGGCTGTGTGTACGAATTCTCATGCCCAAAATATTGCAGCCAACAGTGCCAATGTGAGGACTATAATCGATGTGAGAAGCGAAGAGTGCACCTTTTCGCCCTCGTCTAAAAAGAGTTCTCTTACAGTATTCAGCAGCCTAGTAAACATGATACCAGTGAACCATGACAAAGACATAGACGTACATAAAAAGAGAAGAAAACTGACATAAAATTTGCGACTTCTCCCTATTAGAAATACAATAAACTGAGGCAGGTAGCAGTCGCTTTCATAAATGACGCATTACTTGATTGAACAAGTCAAATAATACTTATATATTAAGGTACTATGAAGCTTTTTGGGCATATGTGAATTTGATCAAGGTAAGTATAAAATCTAGAACAAAATTTTGCTTGAATATCATCGTAGGTGCACCACGCTGTAATTTGCGCCGTGCGAGTTCATAAATGTCAGCATTTTCTAAGGCCGAACATTTAGTCTTGCAAGTTCACTGCTGACGAATTGTGTGATAAGCAGCGGCAGATTATTCTTAGTGTCACAGTTTTTTTTTCGAAAGTCTGCCCCTAGGTAAACTAGTTTTTCAAAAATACACATACAAGTTTTCCTCGTGTATGAAGTCTAATAGAGAACGCTGGTGTGGTCCATGAAGCCAGTGGTCAAAGTCGGGTGGTCGGACAGGCCTGAGACCTCTTGCACGCAAGTGACGGCGACGACTTAATTATAGACCAGTACAAATGCACAGTGAGTGTGAGGTAGTTACATCCTGGATTGGGGCGTCACAAAATGGGCATGATGAGCCATACGGGCCTCGGTACTTTTGCGCCCAAAGGGTTGCCACGGATGAGGTAAGCGCAACC